CGGGCCCCCTTTTTTTTTTTTTTTTTTTTTTTTTTTTCCGGGACTACGAGTCCACGACCTCCCCGCAGGCTCCCCTAAACACGGTGGACGCTCTCGTGGCCTCAGAGGCACCCCCCCAGCCCCGACAGACCCTTGTGCGAACGAGTCAATCGCGTTCAGTGAACGCGCGTTCAATGAACGCGCGGTAACATAGGACAAAGCACCAAACACTCCTGTAATATGTTGTACAAATCTCATATGATTCCTAACACTCCAAAGACTCGCCGGACCTGACTTCACACCCTGTACAATAACACGAATAGAATTACTTCGTCAACTGTCGCATGAAATCTCTACCAGATTCCCCTTCGCACCCCTTGGCACAAATGAACTCCCCTACCTGTTTGCAACCTACAAAAAACATAAAAACTCATTTCGATGGCTTACCAATGCAGCAGATGTGCTTTTCTCCCCCCTCGCTGACCTTTGCGCTGCAATTTTAAACACACTCAAAGATGCAGTACAAAAACACTGCGGAGACCTGACAAAAGAAGTCAAGATAATCTAGGATACGATGTCCCCTTCTTGTGGATTATTGAGTCCACATCATACTATGTATACAAGTTAATACAACCTCCCCAATAATATCACAACCCTCTTTGCCGCTGACATCACCAGATGTTATGAAACCATACCGACCCATGACTCAGAAGATAAACTGCTCCACGCCATAAAATATTTCATCAACATCACATTCAAAATCGTCTGCAAACAATACGGCAAAAACATTACACTCCAATGCCACATCAACCCAAATCGACCCGTGACAACAGATAACTGTGGCTGGTATTCACGCCAAACTTCAAATAGAACAACACTAACCCCACAAATCATCATTCTGATGAACAACTGGCTTATCAATAACGTCGACACTTCACTCAGCAACCACATATGGCGACAAATACTTGGGATCCCCATGGGACTTAGCTGCTCACATATTTGGTGCAATATCTACTTCTTCAAATATGAATACGGGTTCATGAGGAAACTTCTCCACCATCGCAATCAACACCTCCTACCCCACTTCTCACACACCTTCAGATACTTCGACGATCTCCACTCTCTAAACAATCCCCACATTAGGGCATTCTTGAATCCCAACATTGCCTCCTCAAGAAGCACCTGAACGTCACTACAATAATCACGAACAGGAACAACGGAACATGCACCACATGCAAATATGACAAGAGACGATAACTTCAATTCCACATCAACAGATACCTCAGATACGACTCTAATCGACCTACCAATTAGTCGCTTAAACTACTTATTCCGCAAATCATCACCATTATGACCATTGAGTTAACACCACTCAATGCCGCTACAAAGATTGGACATCATTGATACCTTCGTCAGCAACGGATTCCCGTGATATAATGCACCAAAATTGTCAAACAAATCCTAACAAATCACACACAATATCAACCCTTTAAATGTTCACCAAACATAACCCTCCAAATAATAACCCAAACATAACACAACTAAGAATAAGTACAACTGTGCTGTGTGTGATGCAACTTGCCAACCATATTGGCTGGAACGTATGGGGGACCTGAAACCCGTGAGGGGGACAGGTCCTACCATAGTACCTGCTCCCCCTCACCTCCCCCATTACGAGGGTACGAGGGAGGGACACACACACGCACACACACACACACACACAC